TTGTGGCTCTTGCATCTGTTTTCTGAAATCACCTTTTCAACAGTGAGCCTGGAAAAGTGAGATGCTGCAAAGGTAAACAATGTACAGATTATGTAGAGTGGAATTGACAAGCTGGTTAAAAAAGGATGATGCATTTCTAATTAGCCCACAGTGCCTTTAGTTGGAAATTAATTAGATACTGTTATGTAAATGTCATGTTAATTAAGCAAGAATATTGAAGTGTTATAAATCTGCAAAAGGGATGACTATTTTTGTGTATTAATGTTTTGCAGTTACCATGAAAGAGCTGATAGTAGAATATTTGTTTGGTTATTGAGCTTCTGGCAATTTTAAGCTGACTGACTCCTTGACAGTCCATTTTTCCTAATTGATGTGGTTTAGCACATGATACAACTGCAGCCAATGAGGGCTTGTGGAACCAGGAGCCAAATATAACCACTTACCACAGCTGTTTTAACAAAACCTTTCTGGGTAGATTGTTCATCTCTATTTTCAAGGTTAAAGAGAAATACTATTTTTCTGTATTTACTCAGCCTTATATTTTGAGTACTTAAGATTATCATGAGCGTAAGTGCAACTGCCCTCCACACCTGTGTTCTCTTCTTTCAACTGAGTCACAGTTTTTAACCAGTCTGTCTATTGGATTGACTAGTACATTGGCAGTTCAGGGTTTTTTGACATGCTCAGTAACTCTACAGTAGGCTGAAAAAGAAAAATTAAGATTCCTGCCACTTCAGCTTGAAATGTGAACATTGATAGTTAACAAAATAGCTTTATTCAGTCCTTCTGGTTTTGCAGGTTATAGTGAAGTAAGTTAGTATGCAGATTTGACTCCTGTCTTCAACTTTACAGGGTTGAAATCAGTACTGTTTCCCCAAGAAAATCCACTACCCTGTTGCAAAAGCTATAAAAATTTCTAGTTGTTGGGAATACAGCTGGAAATGTTCATTTCATGGCTCTCATGTGGAATTGCAAATGCGATCCATAGTGCTGCATTATGTATGACACCTTTAATACAAGAATAGAAACATCCCTAGAAGACAAAATAGAGTATTCAGACTTACGGTCACAAACCACAAGCTACCTCAGACATTATTTACTTGCAATTCCAGATTCTGAATTGTTGGAACTTAAGAAAAGTCCTGAATGTAATACGAAATGAAAAATGATAGTCTGTTATTAAATATCTTCAGATAATGAAGAAACTTGAAGTTCAGATATTTAACTTTGCTTTAGCAAAAGAAAGCAGAAAGCACTCATGGTGATTGGCTAAAAGTTCAGGTTGATTAATCTTGATACCATCTGGTTCAGAATTCCTAGAGAACCTTTCATATTAAGCAAGAAACTTTAGCTGTGATTTATTTTTAATATTTAACAACCCCAAACTTACACTGTTCTAAACTCAGTTGCTGCTAATATAGGCTAGAGGGTAATGGTGTGAGTTGTTCTGTTCTTAGAAATGCATTTATTTTCCCAGCCTGGATCCCATCATACACACACATACATGCACATGCACACGTGCGTGCACACACACTACATCCCTACTTTCACCTGTAGAACTCAGTCATGAAGAGGCTTCTTCATCTTGCTATTCAGTTATTAGCACTGTCCCCCCTGCTGCTTGGAAAGAAAAGGAACAAAGGCCAAAAATAGGAGCAGAGTTTACAGTGATTTATGTGACCATATGCCAGCTCTTCTCTCAGGCATTAGCCAGCTCCATTCTTTGATGGAACACATGCCCTGACTTTGACCCTTACCTTCCACTCTCAAAATTACTTTGTTTGCTATACCCACATAGGACTCCTGTTACATTTTTCTGCTCTTGGACAAAAACCTGAAAAGGTTCCCCTTGAGTGGCCTTTAATTTCCTGCATTCATTTTAACAGAGTTGATTTATAATTAATTGTATAAGGGTGGATATCATAATCTCCTGTGGCTACTCCTTTTATTTGAAAGTATAGGGATATTATATGACAGCACAAGTAGTATAGAATATATGTGTAGTGCTCATGTGCATCTATTCTGGATTTTAAAGAGTTCTGTAGGTTATAGTCTGCCAGACCAAACTTAATTCTAAGCTCTCTGTTTATAATATTGTCCAATTATCAAAGCTGGGATATATTATCACTGCCAGTTACTCTTGCTGTCAATTTGTTTTGGCTCGACTATGGTTCTATTTGTACTTTACTGTAATGTAGTGAATACATTGGATTGGATTGTTAGTTTAACAAGCTCTCTGGAGAACACTTTCATGATGATGCATGTTGAGATATGCTAGGTAGCCTTAAAGTTATTTGCATATTTGCCAAAACCTACAGAAATTCATTCATTAGGAATTTTCAAAAGGGTAGACTACTCTTAACCTACAGATGAGATAAAGATTGCATTTGTAAACATGGGCGTGTTAACTCATAAGTCTCAGCCAGATTTCTTTAGGGGTTTTGATTTAACCAGTTTCTCTCTTTTATAATTGTACTGGGTGAATTATTTCATGTCCTCTTTAAAAAAGTATTCTGGCAGTTAAACTATTACTGACTCTTGTGTTTTGTGTGGCTCATGATGTTGCATGAACTCATGATCTTGGCTATATATTGAGCTGGGAGTTAAAAGTGTTATCAGAGATTGTAACTAACTGGGCTGTTAATATTTACATTGTGCTCAGCAGGCTTGAAAATGTACACTAATCTCTTCCTGTGCCCATCCCAGCCTATTACATCAACATTTCCAAGTCAGAATCTGGGACTCTGTACTTTTAAAATGCTCCCTTGAACTTTCTGGATTATGGAAATGTTCTAATATTTTTCTAAAATGTTCTAATATTTGATGACTGTTATACAAGTGTGTATATGTTAAAACCCTTCAGGGTATGTATATAAGATTTGTGCACTTCATTCTAGTATTTCATTCTCTTTCTGTTAAGCTTCAATAAAAAGGGGTTTTAAAAAAAATGTACATTACTCTCCTGATTCAGTAAAGAGGCTTGTAGTGGTCACTAAATGAACACCATTAAGTGTCCTTTGTCCATATAGTCGTGACCCAAGAGTAGATGATGGAGTGGGTCTTGACCCTTGGGATCATAAAATCTTGTGGGAGAGAAGTGAAGATACATAATACAAAGCTTTATAGTGTATGAAGTCTTTTTGTACAGCTCATCTCATTAGCACTGTGGCTTATGGGCACTTCTACTATCCCCATTTTTTGATAAAGAAACTGAGGCTCTCTTATCCAGGATTACTCAGTGAGAAGAGAGTAGTTGCAGTATTTAACTTCTTACAGTCCCAGAAATAAGAATGCTTCATGTAACAACAAAAAAGGCCCCCAAACAAACAATCCAACCAAACCAAAATACATATAGAAGCAGGAGTTACAGCATTTTATGGAGTTACAGATGATAGTGCCCAGAGGATTTCAAGGATGTGGGGTTTATATTAGGTTTTCTTGCAGCTCATTGTCTCCCCATGTTGTTTATTTTCATGTTACAGGTGCCCCTTTGGACCTCTGGAATTTTAGTGTGTTAAGCTTTCTCTGGTGAATGCGACATTTGTAGAAAATTTTTCAATTGAATTGCCCTGCTCTTTTGGTCTTTCTAACTTTTAATTTATTCCTGCCTCATTTTAAAATTCTTGAGGAGTATTTTCAGATGATGCCAGCCAATGATGAATATCCTCTTTCTTGATTACATTTAGCATTTATTACTTGTTCCATATTCTTTGGCACTTGATCATTTTCCATCTGGTTCTTTACCGCTGTCAGGTATTGTTCTTTGTTTAAATATGCAGATTTTGTCTTTCTAATAAGATTATAAGCTCCTTGAGGACACCCGTGGTGGCACATAGTAGGTATTTGCTAAGTGCTCTTTGACATTAACAGCACACTCACTTAGTTTTCCTCTCTTTTCCTATTTTCCCCTGGGTCTTACACACACTAAGGTTTGCTGCTGTTATGGCCTGGGTGTAGGAAACAGTAAACTAATGATGATCTTAGGTGGGATCTCAAGGCCCCTAAATCCATGGATCTTGGTGGCATAAACTCAAGAAACAGGTCTCCCAAGTTCTTTCATCTTTCCTTCCTTTTTGATAAGTAACTTCATGATATGAAGTCTTGTCATAGGTGATATACAGCTATGCTAAGTAATCATTTTTCCCTTTGCTAGTTATAGTCACCTGGGGAGCCTTTTCAAAATATATGTGTAACTTTTGCCTGTGTGTCCTTTCCTTAATTATCATCACCACTGCCCCTCCCAGGGTATGTCAAGAACTGATGGTCTTCATGTTCATACAGTAACTTCTATTTCAGCAGGTAGGGCATAGTTATCTTATCTTATCAACTTAAGAATTTGTTGATGGTCCTGATTCTGCAGAATAGAACGATTGCTTTTCAAGCCTTTACCCACTGACTGACTATATCTCTTGCATACTCTTGAATTATACCTCTCCATCAGACCTCTGGGCCCAAAAAGATTCCATGAAGGCCCTTTTCATACCATATTCTTACAGTTAAACTAGATATTCTTCCGTAGTCAGCAGTGCTGTCTTTATATATTAAAATAATTATTATTTCTTCTGGCAAGCAGTTTGTTCTTTAGGAAGTACCCCCCTTTTAAATAAGGTCAGTTTTACAATAAATTCAAAGGTAGGGTGACCACTGAGATAAACATAGGAATGGGCACTCCTGCTTATTGTTCTGTGAACAGGCTCATCTCTTCAAACTTATGGGTAATTTACTCTTAACCAGATCAGAATTCTAGTTAAAATTTTGTCCTTTAACATCTTAACATTATGTGAGTCTTGATTATTTTTTATGAAAAGCACGTTATAACGTAGAAAGAATATGGGTCTGTAGACTAAATTACTGAACCACCACCACCTCCATCTTTCCTGCTACCTATCCTTATGCATATTTACAGGTTGGTCCTTACCTCTTTACGTTTCTCTAAAGATAGCAGCTGTGGGCACATAAAGGGTATGTCCTGACTGATGTGCCTGCCTTTCTGTTTCTAGGTGGGCCATGCACAGATACAGCTCATGTCTCGTTAATCACCCCAACCAAAAGATCCTGTGGTACAGGTACGTACATCATTCTTATCTTGGACTCATTCTTACCTGAATTATTCACAGGCATTAGCTACTGGCTTTAACGTAGTGTCCTTGCCAGAGTACTCTCTAATTTCTTCCATCATTTGTGAAGTGATGTATTATGTGCTTAGTATTAGGAGTGGAATGTGAGCAGAGGTCAGTGGTGTGTGCTGTTGGAGGTCAGATTGAGTTAATGCTGGGAGCTAGAACCAAGAAAGTGGACATCAGAATTTACCTGCTTCCTAATGTCCGAAGAATATTATTAAGACCCGAACCATTACAGAAAATCCAAATCACTGCCTAGATTCTAGCATATGGCTAATTTGTCTAAGTCTTAGACCTACTAAAAAAATAAAACATTATTTATATAATGGAGGCTGGAGGACAAAAGAAGTTGTTGTATAGATAATCAGTGTTTTAACTTGACTACTATAGTATCCTAATAATTGCAGAAAATTATCTTCTTTCATTCATCTTAAAACCATGAGGTGTACTGAAATCATTCTTTTCAGATACAAGGAGTCCTCAAAAAAAAAATCTTTGTATTTGTGACATTTATATTAAGCATGAAGTCATGAATCTTGTATTTCTCTAAAGAGCGCTCATAATGCCCATTGCTCCCTTACCCTGGAGCTTAATTTATTTTAAACAATATTTGCCTTTTTAAATAATGCTGCTTGCTATTTAAAGTTATTTTAAGGATTGTATTTGGAAGAGTCAGAATAATTATATTGTTTTTCTAAAGGTCACGAAGTGTTTTTCATATCTTAAAAAGTCCTTTTAACTCCCCAGCAGAAATAGCACCAAACTATCTCTGTGTACGGACTCACACTGAAACCTCAGCCCCTTTAAACTGCTCATGGTTTTTGTTTTTTTTTTTTAAATCACCAAGAACTTTTTTGTTAACTTTTTGGCTGTTCAGGTAATTCATTTCAAGAAACAATAAGCTGCAACAACTAGAGGGGTTTATTTATTTCTTTGACATTAAATGTATTTTCTTCCATTTCATAAGATCTAATTTCTCATGAGTAAATAGGGAAAAAAGTTAACTGCATATTTTAAAGGGAAAACCTTTGAGAGGTTAATATTAAATGATACTTCAAGAGTTTGTAAGTTTCAAATCTTACCAAACATTCTTTCTTGAAATTCTGCTTATTAAAACAAAACAAAACAAAACTCTTCCACTGAAACAGTATTTATATGTTCAATTATTATAGGTATCTAATTAGTCAGAAAAATTTTTTCATTTTTCATTCAAGACTCTATAACTCACAAACTGGTAGTAAATCTGTTCATTGAAAAATAGTAACATCATTGGGGAAAGAGTTTATCAAACTCAGAGACAATTTTCAGTAATAACACTAAAGTTCAAATTGCAAGTCAGTAGAGATGTCAGATCTAAAAAACATTCACTATGAAGAACTAGACAACTAATGTGTCAATACATATTAAAAAAAGAAAAAGATGATGAGGATGGGGAAGTGGGGAGGCAGACAGTGTTGACTTGTGAAATATAGAACCTTTTCTCTCTGCTGGTCCTCACACTGCTGCTTAGAAAGCCCTGGAAGGTGTGCTTGCCGCTCCTGATGCCACCAAGGGTGATGCTGCACTCCTGCCCGGTTTGGACACTTGGCCCAGGCGGCTGTGGAGCTGCCAGAAACTGGGGAAGAATCCTAAATGCTCACAGTTTTGACGCGAACCTCAAACAGGCCTGTCCGTGCATGGTTTTAAAGTAACATCCAGGCACTGAACTCTGAGGAACTTAATTTTACTCCTGTTCCAAACGACCAATTTTGAGGCAGTTTGTGTGAGATAGTCTTGACGTGCTCTCATCCCTCCTGTGCCCAGTACCCAAGCTTCACTGGGTAGTTCCTGATTGAGGTAGAAGAGAACTGTGCCCTGGAGTGAGACAGAGCATCCTGCTTAGCCAGTGGGAGGTCCAAGAGCCATCTTCTTACTCGTTCCAGCCAGAAGCTTGAAAACATTTAGAGAGCTTTGATTTCAGGCCAAGCGCTTCACACATACAGTGTACTTTAATCTTTCTTTTTTCCTTCCAGTCTTGGCCCTCAGGGCAGGGCTTACTGTTAGCACTACCAGCATGTTCAGGTAGCAGTCAAGGAGTGAGTCTCAAGTACACTGGGTCATCCTGAGAGATTTAGGAAAGAGATTCATGCTTTCATCTTAGACACTGACACTAGCAGGAACCCTTCCTGAATACGTTGTACTTGTGTCCTTCATCTTCTAGGCAGATCTGTTTCATCCATTCTGCTTCCATACTATTTTGTGTGTCTAGAAATAATAATAGCAGTTATTGCATGCTTATCACTACATTACCAGGCACCATTCAGTCTTTATATACATGAACTGTTAATCTTCAGAACAGTTCTGCAAGATGGTTATTCTTCTTTTACAGATGACAGAAACAGGCACTCAGAAAGTTAAGTGAATTTCCTAGAGTAATATTGCTAGTAAGTAATAGAACCAGTACTTGAACACAGAGCCTTCAGCTCCTAAAGCCTGTGTTGTTTTCTACTACATAATGTTACTTTTTATCACATTTTATAGTTACCTATACTCCTAACTGGACAGTATGAAGCATATCATTGAATGAAATGTGAAGAAATATGAGAAAGAGAAACAGATTTGGAAATATAGCATGATGTAGTTTTTAAAATATGAGTTCTAGAGGCAGATATGGTTTTAGACCCTAGCCTAGCCGCCATTTACAAAATGTGATTTTAATAGGTTAACATCTCAAAATTTGTTCTTCATCTGTCAAATGAGGAGATAAATCTCATAGGTTGATGTAAGAAAAGAAATAATACATATAAAGCTCATATTATAGATCTTCAATAATGGTTAGCTGCTCTTATAATCTTATCATTAAAGATTATGTGTGTACAGTGGCCAATCATTAGATAGTGTTGATAACACATCAGTAGGTATTTTAGGCAGAAGGGAGTAGATTAGAAGTACCAAAATGCATTGCCATACCTAGCTTCATTAATTGATTTTATGTTGATCACTTTCTTTGTTGCATATCAGTGTTAAATAGGAGCTGAAGGTAATGTTTTTAGGTCTCCATAAGTGGAATGATAAGCAAGACATTGAGCACTCAGGCTCACATTTTCAGGGCTTCTTTTAGGTGAATACATCCCTCCTAACTAGAAAAAGATTGAGAATTTCTGACTTGGAAGGAAGTTAATGCAATATGCAGGTTATCTCCTAAAAAGCCTGAAGGAAAGTTGAAATATCTCACCGTGGACATTAAAGGTCACCAAGTTCGGCTTGTTGCACTTCTTCTCGAGTAGCTGGTCTGTGCCCCCTCAGGCTCCTTGAGCTAGCCTGCTGCCATAGCCTTAAATAATGGCCCTGACCTTAGAGGACAGAGCTTCCTGATTTTCAGAGGTAAATTAAATGATTTGCTTTGAGAACCACAGGCTGATGACTGTCTTTGTCTCCATCTTTCTGCTTGTCCTGGAATCTACAAGTTGCCCATGGTGGGGATTCTGAGCACTTTTCTTGTTAACCATCACCGCTTATTAGTGTTACCTTGCTTAAGTGTTTTTGCATTTCTAATGTCTAGATTCTTCAAGAGTAGAAGTCAGGCCTCACACACATGCTCTTTGGTGCTTCCTCCAGGAGGGGCACAGTAACAGTGGCTCTCCCAGAGATCTTGCAGAGCACAGGGCTTCGGGCATAGCTGATCAGTAAATAATTACCTTAGTGTGTTGTAGTTTCTTAGGAGCCATAGAGTAAGGCCCTCTGAATTAGATCTTACAGACCCCTTCCCAGTCAATCTGTCCATACAAGTTTGAACCTAAAGCAGCCTCCAATCTAATAATGATGTGTGTTAGAGAAAGGATACTTAGGCTAGAATATAGTGGTTCTTTAAATCAGCAGTTTCTGAAGAAGTGCATACAATGTACAGTCTGTAAGATATGGAGGGAAAATTGTAAAAGCTCTTTATCTCGGTCTTTTAAAATTTCTGTTTTGCAGATTTGTTTCATAATTACATATTAGCCCATATATATAATTTAAAACTAACAAATATATACATATTATATTATATATTCACATACAAATATATGTAGGCCATTTTCTTTTTAGCACTTTGAAAATTAGATCTATAGATTAGCATTGGACTCATTATTATGTGGTTATAATAAGTCAAGGCCTGAATGTACCCTGAATGGTTGATTAGTGTCTGCATCTCGGGTGACTACTGTTTGATCAGAGGGTATTGTAATTTAGAGAGGAAGACAGCAATGCAGAGTGGCTGGTCTGCAGCCCTCAAAACGAGAGAAGGGACTCCTGAAGAAGTTGTTTTGTGATAACTGTGAGTCTAAGAAGCAGATTGCAAAAAGTAGCAGTAGTGGCAAATGAAAGGTCAGTTCGTGTTTGTGAGCTAGGCGGGAGAGGCTTTAGATGATGGCTTTTAGTCACAGCACTATTAACAGTTACAGTCTGTGTAATCTTTAGATGGAGAACTACAACGGCATCATGATTGTTCTGATGTTTAAGAGAGAAAAATTAACTAAAGGCATGTGGCTTTATAGAGCTCCAGGATGTCTGGAGTCAGCAAAGAGCTGAAAAGTGCTGCCAAGTCCCAGGTTGCTTTTGGTTAGAATGTGAGAGTTAAAGTATATCACACCTTCAGATTACTAGAGAGAGCTTACATTTCTTCAAGAGCTCAGAATATTTGGCACATGTTCCCTTGTTCATTCTCAAAACATTCCTGCCAAGAACAAGTATATTGTGAAGGAAAGAGTTCGCTTTCTTTGGCAACAAACCACTGGAAGATTCCCTCTTGTCCTTTCATTTTTTCTAAGTATCACGTTATACCTTAAGCCGAAACGTTGTATTCTGAGCTATAGGCATCTCCTTTAGACAACTTCATATGGAATGTATTTGAATATTTAGGTGAATATCTTCATAAGATCATATATGTTTAAAGTGTCTTGTGGGGAAGGAGAGAGGTTTGTTTTCTT